AATTAAAGTACAGTCAGCCCCTTTGTAATTAGCTTAGACTGAGCTCAATCGATAAATTTGTTCCTTGGTTATAAATATTGAAATAAGAAGTCAGAAGAGTCCATTCCATCCAATGTTTCTCTAATATTTTTAAAAACAAAAAAAACAGATGTTTTCAAAAAGAATTCATTGTGAACATTTTGTTCGACTATTCCTATAAGGAAATCAGTTCATCTCTCCACGAAATACAATCCATATAGGAATCATCAGAGCAAAAATTGAATGAGGAACCAAATCAAGTCAGAAAATTGTTAATAGATGATTAAAATTTGAAATTCGCTGGAGAGAATAAATCTGGAGTAGAACTGTTTATTTCCGTTCAATTGTTGATTCAAAAAATGTTCTATCTTATGAAAACTGAATCAGTTAAATTGAATTGAAACGATCAAATTTCACCGGATGTAAAAACAGTCCTTGCTTATTTTGACAAAAATAATGAAATTTGCCTAAAAACACAAAAACAAATGTTTTTGTAAAAAAACTGGGCCAAGAAAAAGTTTTGTTTGATTCCTACTGGGAAATCGAAGTTTTTGAAAAATACATAGAAATAAAAAAGGAAGCCAAGTTAGGAATTTTGAATAAATGGTGATAGTGCACATTCAGGTTTCTATAAGAAAAATAGTTCTCAATGGAATAAGTATTCTAAAAAAATTCTCCATGAAATAAAAAATCAGTAGAAGCAGGACCAACGTTCTTGGCGCGGAGTTTTTCAATTCACTGCCTGTATCAAGCTATTCCTCCATCCTTTGATCCGCGCCAAGAACGTTGGTCCTACTCCTACTGATGTTTTATTTCATGGAGAATTTTTTTAGAATACTTATTCCATTGAGAACTATTTTCCTTATAGAAACCTGAATGTGCACTATCACCAATTATTCAAAATTCCTAACTTGGCTTCCTTTTTTATTTCTATGTATTTTTCAAAAACTTCGATTTCCCAGTAGGAATCAAACAAAACTTTTTCTTGGCCCAGTTTTTTTACAAAAACATTTGTTTTTTTTTTAAATACGAGGTGGTTGACAGGTCTGGTCGTCGCCATGATGCTTGGATCCCCCTTCCTGGACCGCAAGGTACTTCCAAGATGGCGGCGCTCACAGCTGTCAGCCACCTCGTACTTTTAAACATTACAAAAAAATATTTATCCTTCTCAGACCACCCTGAACTTGTTCCATAACATTTTCGAAGTACTAAGGATTTGGTGCTGATAACTTTTGAGCCTCGGAATTCACCAAATGAAGAGAATTTGTGAAGCTCAGATTTGACGGCATTTCAGTAATTTTTTTTTATACTCGTGCCCCCTGAAGTTAAAACATTTGTCAATCAATTGTTTGGAATGGAAATTTTTTCGCTATCTAAAAATTCACTTTTCTACCCCATTTTTCCATTACAATTCGATGCAAGTTGATGTTATAGAGAATCGAACAGAAAAGTTTTCCGTAGTTTCAATGGAAAAAATTATAAAAATTCCATCATTATTTGGATCACTTTTAAAAAATCTAAATAAAAATCTTTAGCAATTAATTTTTTGGTAAGTTTTTTGCCTCTCATTTTGTAAAAAGAAAATCCAGCAGAATTGGCATCATTTGATCATTTGAGTCTTGAATTAATGCAAATTGTATCACAAATATGTTTGAACCCAACGGACTTGTGAAAAATCTCAAGAGGAAATTCTTAATTAATCCAAGAGTTCTAGAAATATTGTCAATATACTCTGCAAGAATAATTGTATTGCCCTATACTGTTTTCATTTTTTGAAAGAATCATTTTGTTCATGAGCAATTCATTGGGAAAATTATAAAAAGCTGATAAAATAGTTACCAATGGCATCAATTCCATTTTTTCTAGCACTCTGTGCAAACGGCGACATGAAGGCACCATCAAAAGCCAGACTACGTGCCATCCAAGCAATCGTATTAGCCACCCCTTGGATTTTCGTTGGATCTTTCTCGCCCTCGACTTTTCTCATCTCTGTGACTAGTAACTGATCAGGGACATTATCAAAAACACCATCAGTTGCAAGTAGTATCACATCACCATCCTCAACTCCAAAGCTCGAGGTATCAGCAGATTCAGGACTAGAAAAATGCAAAAAACTCATCATTAGTTTTTACCTCTCCTCCAAATAATGGATATTTTTTATTAAAAATTAAATTTTTCATAAAAACATCTTATCTTGATGAATGCACAATTTCTTTTGATTTGCTTCTCTAAATTCACTCGTTTTCGAGATAATTAATCAATTTGAATTATGGATCAAATTCAATTCTAAAATTCATCACAATCTCTTCATCGATTGAAAAATATTTCGATGAAGCCGAATAAATGTTTTTCATTATTGAAAATAGTTTGGTAATTAAAGATATAATTTTTTTGAAAGAATTGCAATGTTAAAAAGAAACAACAAAATATTTTCAAAGTTGAAATTTTATTTTTTTGTCGTGAGTCATATTAGTTATAAGTTGAACCCTACTGTGAGAAAGTCCATTGATAGATTCTTGAAATAATTCCAATTGAAAATTCAAGAAGTGTGAAAATTATGTGTGTAAATTAATCAATTTCATATTCTATAGCTGAAGCTTGCATGTAGCCTTCTTTCCTTGATAAAATTGCTTGATAAAAAAAAATACTGTTTCAGTGAAAAAAAAATCTAAAAAAAAATTTTTCATTTTTGTTGAAATTGACAGATTGGTTACCTGTCACTCAAAACATGTCCCGAGTGTCCTGGTGGTGGCAAAGAAAGTTGAAAGGGAGTATTGAAATAGTGTTGTTGCTCGGAGGAACGATGAACAACTTCACCCTTTCTCACAATGACGAAACCACTGTCACCAATATTTGCAGCATAAATACTGCTTGTTTCTTTATTTAACACGATTACACAAGCAGTACTGCTTCCTGTATGAAAGAAACTCAATTTTCACATGTTCACAGCCTTCCCCATCAATTTTCGAAGAGCAAATTGCAATTCCCTGCGTTAAATCCAAAGACACTCCGAAAAAATCTGTTATTCTTTAACATTTTTAGCAATATTGCAGCAAAAAAGAGAGGAAGAGGGATTTATGAAGTGGCGTTGAAGAGCTGAACAAAATTTTCGATAAAATACGTGTCACAGATCCATTTTGTCCCATCGGACTTCATGTTACATGACCTTTTATCTAGATTGCAAAAAAAACGATAATTCTTATTTTTTTCTTCAAAAATTCTGCCGTTTTTCTGAAAGAGTAATGGGATAAAATGGGTTAGAAATAACTGATGAAATCAGGAATTTTCTTTGGAAGTTGAAATAATTGAAGAAATAAGATTATTTTAGAGAAAATTTTTGCATAAAAAAATTATTTTCTGACCTAAAATTGGTTGCTTATTCTCTAACAGTTCATAATAGCTTCGTGCTAATAACCCAGCTGGTTCTGACGGTACAAAGCGACCCATAGAGACTAGACGTTCGCAGGTTCTCATTAGGAAACTTGAAAATTCGCCTGGATCAATGCCATATTGTCTCCAACCGCCAACGCCATCAGCAACACCTGTAGATAAGAATCAATGAGTGAATCGCCATTATAATCGTCACAAAAATTTAAGACAGTTGAAGGGAATGGGAAACAATTTTGTTTTAAAAATTCTACATGAGAATCTTCCTCGAATTTATCATTCTTTTACAAACATCTTACGAATTTCAACAGATAATGAGTTTAAAACTCTATTAAATGAAGGGGGGAATTTCCAACTGGAAACTGAACATGATGATCAATTTTTCCCAAAAAATATTGAGACAAAAAAGATTATTCAAAAGATGTTTATCAGTATAAAAATAACAACGTAACAAGGTTTACACAGTTTTACGTCGCGGTCATTATGTACAGCTACAACCTGAAGGTTTCTACATGTATCTCACATAATGGGTAAGAGATTGGTATAAGCGAGATGTGTGGTAGAGCATGTGGATGGGGTATAGGGACGAATGAATATGCAATAAAGAAAATCCTATAACGTTTTTCACCTAGAAAACAATGTTTACTGTACGTCCTAAACTTTTGGAGCGCAATGGATCGTCATGGTCAGTTTACGATCGGAAATGTCTCTGACGTTTTAACCCGATGAAATTAGTTTCAACCCCCCATCATGTCCGATTCTCGAAATAGTTTAGTTACGAAGTGTTATTTACAAATTGTTATTTTCTTGTCCTTCAACTTTTCCAATTTCAAAATGATGAAATAATGATCAAATTTTCCCGGATGTCGGGAGACACTGACATTCCATCCTTTCCATAAAATAGATGCCATTCTCTGACCGTTTATTTAGCTCTAGAGAACTGAAACCAGCCTAAATGTCACTACCGTTGCATGTCCTTTTTATGAAATTCGAGATTTTATCAATGAAACCGAGTAAATAAGTAGCTCAAAGAAAATTTTCTGAACATAGATAATAGAGGATGTGACTAAGTATAGTTTCATGTGCAATTTTCAGAGGAATAACTGTTTTACGCTCACCAGGATGATCAAAAAAGTTGTCCCATAATTATAGCTCTATTTAAAAAAATTTGAATTCAACTGTCGTCGCGCCATTTCCGACGTTTACACATGACGCACGCACCGAAATTCCATAATGAAGGGGTAAGGCCTCTGTATTTACACCAGTAAAAATCAACTAGACACATGTGCACTACTCGAGAGATGAAAAAGATAAGTCACAGTCATAAGATAATTATTCTGTCACTACCGTGGTCTCATGATTGTTACATGTCGTGTAATTTCTTAGTTAATTTTTTTCATTAAAAAAGTAACATTCCATTGCCTGAAACTCATCATCTTCAGAGAGCTTCCAATTCAAAGCTGGCGCGAAGTGTGATTAGGTTTTAACATAGAATGTCACAACCGTGACTGTCACAACCGTGTCATATCATACATCTTTTTAGATAAACGTGTGGGAGTGAAGTCGTATCATCACTAAGGTATTTAGAAAAATGTTTTAGGTGTTTAAGTGGTGCAAACTCGAAGTAACACCCCGGTGAGTCAGCAACAACTTTGAGTGTTGAAAAAAAAACAGAGTGATCTCTGCAAATGAATGTATGATCCTTGAAAGATATCAAATAAAGCGATAAACTTGTTCTATTGTCTAAAAATGAAATTCCTTGATTGAAATACGAAGACTTGTTAAGTTTGGTCACCACCGTGGTAGTAAAAAATCGGTACCACTCTATTATTCTCAATCTTTTGAAGTTGTAGTAGAGTGGGGCTAGAGCTATAATTCTGGACCATTATGACATATAGAAACGTAAAAAAAATACTCTACAGATATGTTCAAATTTCGAAAAATGTGCGAGGTGAAAAATCACAATTTGTAAATAATCACCCATATATCGTGAGTTTTCGATCGAATATTTCCCTAGCTTTCATATGAAATTAGTTTCAAACCCTCTTCTCTTCCGGTTTCCGACATATTTTGGATATCTACAGTTTTCATGGAATTTTGGAATTTTAAAGAGATAAATAAATTTTCGATCCAATTTTTCTTGTAGAGGAAGATGATTGTTACAAAGAAGATATAATGCAAAATTTAGCTATCTCCTCTGAATTCCGAGATATCTTGCCAAAACTGATGGTGGATCAACCTCTTCGCTATTGGTTTCATAACTATCTTGGCCGAGATCTCAAGAATTCCAACAGATAAAGAGTTTAAAACCATTTCATTTGAAAGGCAGGAGAATTTCCGGATGACAACTCATTTTACCTCCATGTGACGACCCAGCTTATCTAAAAAAGCAGTGAAATGACATTATTATTATCATTATTTGAAATCCATTCTATTAAAATTCCAGGAACACAGAGATTTACAAGTATTGCTTCATTATTAAAGAATTTAATCAATGAGTGATTAAACAAATACTCTCGAGACTTCATTCTTCAGGCAAATTACATAAGCGAATATATAACAATCGTTCGCTCAACTCCTAACTGATTAAATTTAGCCCCGAAAACCTTTAGTCATCCCAATAAGATCAATAAAATCAGCACTAAGACAATATAAAACATGAATATTTCTCGATCGCATTCATCGGATGTAAAATTAGTCTCCCTCAGGTCTCGAGGTACTGACTATTCCTGGCAAAAAGCCTATTTACTCAAACCCGTGCCATGCGTTATGTCACATGATTTTCTAAATGAAAAAAATCAAAAATTACTAGGTCAACAATTCACCAACCCGGCTCCACTCTAAAGTCACTACTGTCCCCACTTCGGGGTCCAAAGTGCAGAATCTGTCAACTGGTCAACACCAAGGGCCTCAAAACAAATACGCGTGCCATGAGAGATTCGATATGATCAACAAAATTAATTTAAAAAACTAGAAAAATTAATACAATTTTACATTTGAGGGGAATAATTACTTAAATAGGAAAATCTAGGTAGATTATTATGCGAATGTCTCTGGAAGTATTATACTAAGAGAAAAAAGTAGTAAAACGGATGGATTATTTTTTGACTCAAAACGCTCAGTGCTTTTCAATAGTGCCAATGAAACAATTCATTGGCGATACGGAATATGTCATCACTTCCAGTCGATTGCATGATTAAACTGTATCCTTCAATAACTGATTCTTCTGAGGGCTCCAAACATGAGACTGATGATTCGATCGAATGAGGGTTCCAATCGGTCATATCTTTCTACGTATTCCCTTATTATGTCATCAAATTTTAATGGATATTTGAATGCATCACGTTCCGTCGATCTGAAAATTTATTGTAGGCGACATCGTCGAAATCGTATTCAATAACATATTTTGAATGAAATAATGCCTCATTTTCGATGAAATATTCCGTTATCTACGCCCACTAGAGAATTCACTCTTGAAATGAAGAATTAAAACGTTAAAAAAATGAAATTCTACTTTGATACGAAGGAACATGCATCCAATAACACATATTCCGTAGAAACTATAAACTTTTCTCTCAGTGTAGGCTTAATGGAAAATAAAAGTAAGTTTTTTTTTAGAGCAGAAAATTCTCCACGAACAATTTCTAGTGACATTTTCTTTCAATCTGATAGCTGACAAGAACAAAGCCGATCATATTCGTTTTGCATTTTATTGAGCGACCATTTATCGATTCCTGAGTGATGACTCAATGAAAGCTTAACAAGAATTTCAACAGCTCAACGCCTTCGATGAGCGCTACACACCTTCCACGTTCCAAAAACCATTTTTACGCACTCGTATGGACACATACTATTGTGTATATCTGCGGAAGTATTTGGTCTACTAGAAAATGTTAGGATACATTTTTTGTAAATTGTTTCCTCAACAAAAAAAATCTCTTGACATTTTGCGAAGCCTGCTCATATCCGAGATAAAGTTACAATTATCATTCTATTATTGAATTCATGAATTCCCTATTCTATTAGAGATCTCATGTAGTTGAATATGGAACCATCTTTGTAATGGATGATTTCAATAAACATGTCAATAGTAATTATTTGTAAAAAAAATTATGCTCATCAAACAGCTTGCGGCAATTTCCACTGAAAAGCATCGTCGTCTTTAACAAGTGTCTTGTGACGATATGAGTTTATTTGTCCTTTAATAATCTCATGTTTCACTCCGACCTCGGCTAGTCTCCGTGAGCTCACGGGTGGTTCGCTCAATCGGAGGGATAAGTGAAGGATAGAGGGAGGGTTAACGATATTAAACCGACCGTACTGATGTTGGTAAAATAACTATATATTAACTTTAATTTATATACGGTAGTGTTTAATGGGTCGGTATAACGCGGTTTTTGACTCGACTTTGGGACCTTGACTCGACTTTGTTATTGGTTGGCTGAAGGCCTGAGCTCAGAGATCCGCTCTGTTTCGCTCCTGATCGTACTCTGACGTACTCTAGTGCTTCCCGAGTCGTCCAAACTCGTCAAAGTCCCAAAATGCTTACCTAAGCAATCCCACGGTTTTCTTCACTAATACGGTTTCGTGCATTCGTTTGTATAGAAACCTACACAGTCAAACAGTTCAGCACCCTGAACTGGACCTGTAGAAACCGTGGAACTGCTTACGCTGGTGTCCATGGGACACCGTGGGACTGCTGAGCAATCTTTGGATGAAGGGAATGAGAAACCTCGTTTCCCGTTCCCATCGTCCACCACTTTGGGCATAATAATTATAATTATTAAATAAATCGACGTATTGATCGATCTCAATACGTCACAG